CAACTGTAAAGTCTTCTTTACATTTGGTCTGCGAGGGAGACGAGGCGGTTCAGCAGCCTGAATAGTTTCATCCCTTAGCCTGCTTCGAAATCTTAATAAGCTCAACAACCCCCAAAACATACAAACATCCCTAAATGCTGCGTGCACAAGGCATGATTGACTCTACTTTGTAGGCTCTACTTGCCACTTGCTGTCACGCTGGTTTCTTTTTTGGTTTATTCTCCTACCCTGAGGATGGAGGCAACATGTTCCTCCGAAACGTCGGTTGACTTTCAACGGGCTACTTGACTTTATACACCAGAAAATATAAGCCTTAATGACAGGCAGCCCCACAGCTCAAACGGTTAGTCGATGGCTTCCCATCGGGGCGGCCCGGGTTTGATCCCGGAGTCTGGTTAAGTGGAATTTGTGGTGGACAAAGTGGCGCTGGGGCAGGTTTTCTCCGAGTACTTCGGTTTCCGAGCCAATCTTCATTCCACTAATTGCTCCACAATCACCCTCACCTACCATCTGGGGCTGGTACAACAGGCCAGTGCCAACTCTGATCGCTGCATACAAATGGTCTTCGTTGCCCGTGATTCTCAATTGGCACATTATTCTCCAAAGTCTACTGCCCTAATTAACATCAACAGCATAACTCACTCCATGGAGCTCAGCCCTTCTTGAGGAGCCGTCAAAATCAACAGCATCACTCTATGGAGCTGAGCCCTTCTTGAGGAGCCGCCAAAATCAACAACATAACTCACTCCATGGAGCTGAGCCCTTCTTGAGGGGCCGCCAAGATCAACAGCATAACTCACTCTATGGAGCTGAGCCCTTCTTGAGGAGCCGCCAAAATCAACAACATAACTCACTCCATGGAGCTGAGCCCTTCTTGAGGAGCCGCCAAAATCAACAGCATAACTCACTCTATGGAGCTGAGCCCTTCTTGAGGAGCCGCCAGATGTACACCTATTCAAGAATTTCCCAACATTTTATGGAACCCCAAAGTTCATCACGTGTTCACAGGAGCCCTCCACCGGTCCCTATCTTGAGCCAGATGAGTCCATTCATACCACAGCATCCTATCTGAGATCCATTTTAATATTATCCACCGACCTGTCTTAATCTTCCTAGTGGTCGCTTTCAAATGAATAGTATACATTACTACATTTACAGACCTTGTGGACATTATCTAGTGTTTTGTCTTCATTTAAAACAACGTTTCGGAGACTGTACTCTGCCTCCGTCCTCAGGTAAAAGCCCTCGTTTGTTGTTTTCAGGCCGCAACTTAGCAACGGCCACTGTACAGTCGCCTATCTAGCGGTCGCCATCTAGTAACGGGTGTACACGCCCCAAACTGTTCAAAAAGTCTATGCACCTGTATTAATGGTACAATGATCACTAACTCGCAGTTCCTATTTTGTGTGAATTAGGAGTATCGAACTGACGCGCCATTTCTAATCGACTCAGCACCTTCTGTTCTACAGCCGCGTGTCCTCCCCTGATGCATACAGTTGGCTTTCAACACACCCCACATAACATTACTCCTGACTTGCAGGGTTGTTACAAAACCCTGACCCGCCCCGCCCTCTTCCGGTGCTCAATTCAATGGTCAATTGGCGCTACGAGCTGCCCCTCCCCCACCCAGGCATCCAGACCCGGGACAACTCAGTCTGTATAGTGACTAGGCTATGGGCTGCACAGCCAGAGTTCGAGTCCCGGCAGGAGCAAAAGCTTTCCCTACTCCACGTCATCCAGACCGACTCTGGGGCCCACCCACCGTCCTATACAATGGGTACCGGGGGATACTTCCCTTGAGGTGAGGCGGCCGGGGTATGAAGCTAACCAGTCACTTCTGTCTACTGTCGAGGTTAAGAACGGGGGAGCTATACCTCCACCTCCCCTTACGCCTTCATGGCATAGTGCTTCATCATATAAGTAACGGAATAACTTTACTTTACCTCACAGGGTCAACACTTGCTTTGGGCCCAACCAACTTCCTACCCAAAGGGTACCGTGTGCTCTTTCCCCAGGAGTAAAGCGAAGGGGGCGTGAAGCTGACCAGTGCCGGGGTTAAGGACACATGTCTGTATACCTCCACTACCCCATACGTCTTCATGGTTTGATGCTTAATTAAGGACTGGACAAATCTTGCCCCATTTCATGAAGAAAATGAGGGTCTTGTCCGTGTCTCTCCGATTATGCTGGACACTGTCCACTGACCAATGTTTCGGAAGCTGGACCCGTTTACTTCATCAGGCGTAATGGTAAGAAAAGATTTCTATTCAGTGTGGCTCGTTAAACTGGTTTAGTCTCGATCACTGGCCGTCTCACATGCAGAGAACAGATGGAGTGGATCAATCCATCAATCAAGCCAGTCATCTGCACTGCCATATGCCACTTTTCCAGAAACGCTTCTTAACACTCAGGAATGTAAGTCCAGCTGCCGCACTGCTGGCTGGCTGGCTGGCTACCTCAGCAGTCCCTGAATGCCGCACACTGCCCCAGGGATCGTAAACAGAATGAACATACTTCGCTTGCAGTGGAACTTAGAAATGTTATTTCCACCAGTAGCTCCGTTGTGTTCAGGGCATTGTAAATCGGACTGTTGAAACCTAGTTAGGTAGAAAACCCGCAGGCAACAACGAGGAGTGCTTTTATATTCCATTAAACCTAAAATATTTATGGCAAAATAAAAAATTTCATTCTGCTCGCTACCTGTGTCATGCTTGGCTTCTTCTTCGACCCTGAAGATGGAGGCGACAGGTTCCTCCTCCGTCGACTGATTTTCAACGGACTGCACGGTGTTATATCCCAGAAGGCAGACTCGTCTGTTGCATCCTGTTGTGTAAACCAATATAGATAATATTTATCAGAAGATAGAATTCTACATATAATGAGGCCACGGAGAGAGGTCCCATGATTTACACCCCTACACAGCCCCTTCCAATGTACTTTACCCATATTCCCCTTCTGTCTAGCGGTAGCGACAAATGCTGATGATTCACACAGATCAGAGTGGTTTGTAGGAGAAGACAATAGTAGGAAGCCTCGTGCGTCTCTCCCCACCATCCATGGGACTTCTTTCCGTATCCTCAGTTATTTATAGAGTCGGAAATGTTGAAGGACCGCAAAGGCTAAACCTATTCCCGCTCCTAATTAAGCAGCATGCAATTAAGGCATATGGGGAGCGGATGTCTAATTACTTCTAGACGGTAAGTGGTCAGCTACACACTCCGGCTGACTTAACCCGGCGGAAAAGGGCTCCCTGGTGCCTATAACTAGTTGCAAAATGACCAGCAGAGCCGGTCTTGATATGGTGGCGGAGGAGAGAGAACTTACAGCCCTTGTCGTGTTTCGAACTCCTGTTTTCCTGCCTGCAGTCTGGTCACAAATGTGAATGAGTTATCCTCTCCCGTTGGAGATCAGGAATATTCAAGGTTAAGTTAATCCCTCGGAAAGAATAGGAAATTTCCTTTCACAGGTATAAGTGTTATTATTTATTTAAGAGGCATACGGTGGGGTAGTTGGGGCACTATGACACAAGCCGGAAAGTCGCGGGAACGATCCCCGATGAGGTCATTGGATTTTTAATTTACCTAATCCTTCCAGCCGCACTATGGCTCTGGGGTCGACTCAGAAATGAGTACCAGGGATCTTCCTGGGGGGGGGGGAAAGGGCGGTCGGCGCGTAAGGCTGAAAAATTCACCGCCGTGAGCCGATTGTGTAGAAAATGTGGGAGCCTCGACGTCTCAAAACCTTATGGGACTCCACGGCCTGTACAGGGATACCTTTACTTACTTTAACTTTAATATGGTCATTGGTCATGAACAAATCTGCTACAGATTTTGATAGATTTACACCTCTCCAGCCTCCCTGATTACGAAAAATACTGTTTTTGGCGTACCGCCTATGCGTATATATATGTATGTATGTGCTCCTTGCTAGCCCCGAAACGGCTGGAAGGATTTCATTCCTATCCAATACTTTACGTAGGAGCTGATCCTGGTAGGGGCAAGAATTTTCTCTCTTCTCCACGTCGTCCAGACCGGCTCTGGGTCCACCCAACTTCCTACCCAATGGGTACCGGGGATAAAGCGGCAGGGGCGTGAAGCTGACCACACACCTCCAGCTAGTGTCGAGGTCAAGAAAGTGTAGATCTATACATCCACTACCCCATACGCCTTCATGGCGTAGTGCTTAATTAGTTTAGCACAGGGATAACTTTATCTTCTTTTTTTTTTTTTTGCCTTTTAATCCATATCACGTGGTAGGTGCCCACTGAACGTAAAGATTCAAACTCTAAAATTAGCGGCCCCTCAACCTGCCCCAGAGAACAAAATAGCAATTTTCTCGAAAATGGCTGGCAACTATTTTAATTAAATTTCACCTACTAACAGAGACGAAACCCGTAAACGAACCAGCATATGTGATATCTTCAGATAAGCAGCGGACACGCAATAGAGGCCCACCGATCAACAGTCGACTTCGTTTCCATGGTAACGTGGTCAAGGCCAACCGTATGCGTAATGTCCGTGCATTTACTTTTTGCGTTGGGCGCTGGAACAAGACGTTGCAAGCGAAGACAGGCCCGGGTGATGGATTGGCTCTAATTACTCTCTGGCAGCAAGTGTGTAAACACAGCGACTCGCCGTCATTAGCGCATGACACGCTGAGTGCAATTGAGCGCTCCGGGAACTGGGTACAATTTGCGTGCCTCAGTGCAACAACAGTATCTAGCAATTTCTCTGTTGATATCACCGTCCGAAGAAGCGATACTGGCATACATTACCATGGTAACAATCAACACCAGCCTGTATCACCATGGTAACAAGTAACACCGGACTACATCACCAAAATTACACGTAATACTGGCATATATCACTATGCTAACAAGCATACTGGTTTATATCGCGATGGTAAAATGTGATACTGGCACACATAACATATGCTACCACGGTAACAAGCAACACTAGCCTGTATCTCCACGGTAACAAATAATACTGGCCTATATCACCATGGTGACAAGCAGTACCTGTCAATATCACGTCATTAACATATCTGAAGCTTCTTATCGAGATATCTTGCGTGTAACACGGAAAGAGTTAATCAAAAATTTGGTAATGGTATTTCTTGAACTTCCAATTACGACATCTCTCCTTAAGATACTGTTACAGAGATATGCCCCTCTTATTCTAAGCTTGCAAGAACATGAGCATGACCACTCCCAAACTGCACATTCCACGCCATTGGAAATCATCTTAAAAGCATTTGGCCAGTTTACACCGCCATCTTGCGGCAACACGCATCTGCAGGATACTCTTATAGGCCAAACTAACCAACCACCTAAATATTTAACTCCATGGAGCTGAGGCCTTCTTGAGAAGTCGCCATTTGTGCAGCTGCTCAAGAACTTCCCAGTAATTCATGGAACCCTAAGGTTAATTACCGTGTTTAAAAGAGCCCTCCACTGGTACCTGTCCTGAACCAGAACAATTCAGTACATAGTACCCTATCTAACCTCCATAAGATCCATTTTAATATTATCCACCCACCTCCGTCTTTGTCTTCCTAGTTTTTTTTTGCATAGCCTATACAGGATAAGGGAAAATAACAAACCTCTCATACTAATAAAGTGTCACATATAACGTTTTGTTCCCATTTTTCTTGTCAACAAAGACACCTTCATTACATTGGAAAACCAGTTTCTTGTTGTACTTATTAAATTATTATTATTATTATTATTATTGCTTTTGTTGTTGTTGTTCTAGTTCTATATTCAGACATATCATTCTGCAGTCCATGAGGAACAGGAGGTAGTCGGTAGACCCCTGCAGAAACAGAAGGAACTGACTACGCCCTGTAAGACACCCAAGCTACAGGGGTGCACTGCAACACGTGTTGCTCTTAGAACACAAGGAGTTCCCAAAAACCGTGAGGAACAGGTGGTGGTCGGTAGACCCCTGCAGAAGCAGAAGGAACTGACCACCCCAAGTAAGATGCCCAAGCTACAGGGATGCCCTGCAACACGTGTCCCTCTTAGAACACAAGGAGTTCCTAAAATCCACGAGGAACAGGTGGTGGTCGGTAGACCCCTGCAGAAGCAGCAGGAACTGACTACACACAGTAAGACACCCAAACTACAGGAGTGCTCTGCAACACGTGTCCATCTTAGAACACAAGTAGTTCCTAAAATCCATGAGGAACAGGTGGTGGTCGGTAGACCCCTGCAGAAGCAGAAGGAACTGACTACACCCACTAAGACACCCAAGCTACAGGGGTGTCCTGCAACACGTGTCCCTGATAGAAGGACAAGAGGGAAATTCGAGCCTGCAGTTTTTGCAGCACATAAAACGAGTGAGTAGATTTCCTAGTCCATACAGCTAACCTAACATTAAAATAACATGTTCGCCTGTCTTAACATTAAGTTAATGTGGAAGGACAATTTTTTTTTCATCCTATCAACATATTCTTAAAGGGAATGTGAAATGTTCGCTGGATTAACTTTTTAAACACCAAACCATGAAAAAGTATGGGGAAGTGGAAGCATAGCTCCAAATTCATAATAGTATACACCCTACTGAAGTCGAGATAGGTTATTTTGTATAGCAGGAGTCTACAGGCAGGATGGTCCGTGTTTGATTCCCGACATTCTGAGATTTTTCTCCTCTTCATAGAATCTGGACACACTCTGGGGTCCATCCAGCCACCTAGCTAATTGGTACCAGGGGATTCTGAATACTGACTCATCCATGTGAGGGTTGTGTAAATACCATAAGTCCAAGTATCAGATTTTAAGGTTGTTCAAATTGCATGAGCTGACAATGTCACGTATGCGAGCGGATGTATCTCTGAATAACCGCGTGAGAGTATCCACTGTTGTTATTGCTGAGTTTAGACATTCTTTGTATTTATACGACATGTTCCACATCCAGCAGCCACTTGACTTACTTTGGATCTATGCAATGCATTGTAAGTGTAAATTCTCTCGGCTAGAGACCGCCTCTGTGGTCTAGTGGTCAGAGTTCCTGGCTACAGATCCAGAGGTCCGGGTTCGATTCCCGGTGCTACCATATTTTACTGAGAAGTACTGGGTCTGGAACGGGGTCCATTCAGTCTCGTGAGGATAGTTGAGGAGCTATTTCAAGGAAACAGAAGCTCCAGTCTAGAAAGCCGAGATTAACGGCCGTGGGGATTCGTTGCGCCCAACACGCGACACCTTCTATCCGCTAAAGCTCGCACTAACTTCGCCGACAAGCGGCGGTAGCTCGGTCAGTATAGTTTGCTTACGGACAAAACCTCAGATTTTTTTTTTCTATATGTGAAGTAGCCGGCTGACTCAACAGTCCTCTCACAATTGCAAGCGCGGAAATTTCATATACCTCTGATGACAAGGTGCGATGAAAACTTGCTGACTAATAACGGTCTTGTTCTGTTGCAGAACTTCCGATCAACAAGGTTGTGGTGGGCATAGCGCCGATGAAGAATACGACTTCAGTTGGACCCAAGGTAGACTCTTGGAGCAAGTGCATGCACCTCGTGCGAGATGGGAGCGACTTCAAGATAACTACCAAGAATCCCATGCCTAATACTTCAGTTGGACCAAAGGTAGACTCTTGGAGCAACTGCATGCACCTCGTGCGAGATGGGAGCGACTTTAAGATAATTACCGAGAATCCCATGCCTAATACAACTTCAGTTGGACCCAAGGTAGAGTCTTGGGACAAGAATAGGCACCTCGTGCGAGATGGCAGCCAATTGAAGATAATTAACGAGAAGCCCAACTATAAGCACGTGAAGTCCAGGATTGACCGTACGAAGAAGCCATTCAGTCACCATCATATTGAAGAGGAGATTCTGGCAGGGTGAGTTGTGGCATGGCTCACGAGAGAAACATACCAGGTGCTGGCTATCACCGGTACGGCGCGGAAGTAGAGGTCACCAGCTCCTCCTTTGGAACGAGACCCCTACTGAAGCTGAGGCCAGAGCTGTTGAGGCTGCTGTCCCCCTTGAGAGAGCATCGCATCCGCGAGCTGCTGGTTATCTGAGAGGCCGTAAAGCATTTCCGTTACATGCTGGAAGCGCGCCGTAAGCAGCATCACGTACGCCTTCCACTAGAAACGGGACAAATGACGACCGCGGACCTCCGACACGCAGTGAGCCGCAGGTGCGCTTACATCGGAAGCGCAGACAGTAACAGCGAGGCTTTAGCAGCAACACCGTCAGCCGACGCAAGAAAACCCTGCCGGTTGGAAGTTTCACGGCCGCCGACGCTACGAGGACCAGCCGACACGTAGACGACCGGCCACGTGCAGAAAAAAGGTCGCCCGGCTTGCATGGAAGCATGATATATGAAGGGTGATTCCCCCATTAGAATTTCATGCACAGGAATTTATTGTGTTCTAGAGAACTTTGGCAGAAATGAGTGATGTAAGGTTTTTAAGTGGCATGTTCCAGTTTGAATTTGATGTTTTTATATATTGTTCCATAATATGTGTATACATGCACTGTAAATAATAATCTTGTAATTTTATTTAAACAATCCAATTACACTTGCAGCATCGCTGCACCGTCGCACGCACAAAGTCTTCTAATTCACTTGTGACATCCTTCTGTATTCCTGGTTCCACTTCGCTTGCTTCCACCACTCTCAAATACTCCTCAATACTGACTAATTCTGATATCTGTTCTGCCGAATACTCTCGTTATATAGCTTCCGCAATGACCAGGCAGAAAAGAGCCTATATTGTTGGAACGTGTTTACTGAGCGATTGCCGGGCAACGGACTCCATAGAAACCGGTTACGTGATAGCTACCACTGTTGCGTGACGACAAAGGGGTGTCCACCGAGCGTCGCGTAGCGACGGGCTGTGTGCGGGTATGTGACGTCACTTGCGGAAACGCAGAGGTCACGTGACTCCTACTCATTACTGCAGTATGACGTCATCGCGCCTGCGCGGGAGTACGACTCGCAGGGCTAGGGTTCACGTATGCCTCCGAATAGAAGCCCGCGCCTCCAAGGGTTCCATTACTATTCTGCATGAAGGCGTTGTCTCGGAAACCACGTCTTAATTCCTAAGCAACCGTTTGGTTTTCTAGGTGTACGTGTATACAACTTTCCCTTTCGCTTCCTAGAAACGTCCTACAAATCACAATATTAAAATATTGTGGCGGGGCAGGTTTTCTCCAAGTACTTCTGTTTCCGCGACTGCTCCACACTCATCATCTATCATCTGGGTCTGGTAAAATAGCCCAATAGTGGCCGACGTGCCAAGTGGATTCAGTCTCACCCCACCCCAATAAACTAGGGGAAAAAAAAAAAAACATTACGTCAGCTGCTACCGTCTCGCAATGAAACTGTAACCACAGCCTCTCCCCGCGTGCACAAAAATGGACAGTTCTAGCAAGACAGTCTGTACATGATGTTCTAAACCTGACGGAGGGTGCGACAGGAAGCGTCTCCTGTCGCCGTTTTTATCAATAAAACATACATTTCTTGTCCAGCCGATAAATGAAGGAAAGGATGGACGTGCTGGCACCGATAGAAGTGGGGTGGGGTGGGGTGGGGCTGGAGGGCAGCCAGAAATTTGCCACATCCACAGACTTTTTCGGGGCAAAAGAAAAACAAAATTCAGAAAAGGCGATAAATGCACCAAATATTAAATCCTCTGTGATGAACACTCCAGGGCGATCAGTGAACTCAGCCTCTTATATGAGTACCGAGGGACCACCTCCGAGGATTTAAAGCAGCCGGAGCGTGAAGCTCTTCCCTTAACCTACATTTAGCGTCGAAGTTACGAATGTTTGGGAGCTACGCCTCCATCAACAGAGTCTTTGTCTTGGTGCTTAATTACGCACAGGGACAACTTTACTGCAACAGGGGTTCGACGAGAGAGGCCTCTCGGTTCTGTTATCAGGAAGTTGCAGAGTTTTCTCTCCTCTGCTTGGCGTTCATTAGATGATTGGATTTACTCGCATTTCTTTGCAGTTACGGTCAATTATAACAGCTCACACGCTCAACTCCTCCTGAACAACGTCTGTCTGACGAATCTGTCACTAATCTCGGACTGATCTCTACTCCCTTGAATTCGAGTCCAGTCTAGTCGCGTCTTATGTTACGACCACCGGTCAGTCGGCCAATCTGTCTTCGAATAAAACAACCATCTGGGGCTTACGGTCAGATTTTTATTACTGTCAGACAGTGGTGTGTTCGTTGATGTGT